ATGCAATGCTTCTTGGGTGCATCATTATACTAAGAGTACTTTGAAATTAGTGCCATGTTCACCAATGAAGAAATGTAGTTTTCCATGGCTGACGAGAGGGGAATGGTGGAACGTCAGAAATTGTTTCCTAGAGGTTCATTGTTAATATTCACAAGCAGATTCATGTAGTAAACATGAGATACGCTGTGGTCTAAACCACTGAGCCTAGCTCCTGTCCACCTAGCACATTCAAAAAGCACATCAAAAACGTCAAAGTGCAAAGTAGATAAATAGGTACCACTCTGGTGGGAAGGTAAATGGTGTTTCCATGCACTGCTCTGGTTCGCTCTGGCTACATGACCTGGAAGCTGTCTGCAGACAAAGTCGGCTCCCTAGGCCTATAGAGTGAGATGAGCGCGCAACCCTAGAGTCGTCCGTGACTGGACTTAACGGTCAGGGGTACCTTTACCTTTACCTCAGTTTTGAGGTGATAGGGAAAGTCATGTAAAGAGGTTGAGGAAACGTTCTTTCACATGTGGTTATAATGAACTGAAAAAAATGTTTAAAAGTACTTTTCCAAACAACAACAATGAGTCCTATTTGCTGGGGATAATTCAGACTGAAATTCAAAAAAGGTTATTTATGTATGCTACTCAGGGCTTTTTTTTCTCTTTAAAAATTGTTTAGGGGTCATTTCTTGAGTCATTTTGACTCAAGAAAATCACCATTTTAAAGTTCAAATCTGGAAAAATAAATACAGTAAATGGACAAAAGTAGAAAGATTTACAACATGTTTAGGGGTATGCGTACCCCTGGGTCCCCCCACAAAAAAAACACTGATACTACTACTGTGACCCATGTTTTGTTAGGCCAAAAATGGAAAACAAGCGAGGTCCCAACCAAAGAAGAGGGGCAACTTAAGCTGGCAGAATATGCGCAGCTTGTAGACTTAACATATGGAATAAGAGAACAAGAAGAACGTAAGTTTAGAGAAGATTGGAAAACGTTTATTGAATATATTGGGGGGAAATTGTGTACACCTGAAAACATTGGCAGCATTAAAATAAATCCAACAGTGTAAATAAGTTTTGATGGATGCAACAATGAAATATTAAATGGTTTAGCTTTTGTAAAATATGCAGGGATTTATGATATGTAAAATGAACCATGGAATGAGAAGAAGATGAGATGGAGGTTAAAAAACAGTTTGTTTATGTAGAAGTATTTTTACCCTATCCTTCAGGCAAAAAAGACTCCCAGAGCAGACTACAGAGATTAGAAATAATCTAATTAGACTATAATCTTACAGTCTAAAAGATGTGGCACAAAAGGAAATGGGAATGGGAGGGAAGAGGAAAAAAGCAAGCGTGGGGACTAGTTCTTAGTTCTGAAATTCAGGGAGTAGTAATTCAGCAGACCATGGAACTGGATCTAGCTAGGGCTGCCATCTTTTGAAGAGCAAAAAGGAGAACACCTTTACCAAGTTATACTTTTAACTACGGATCGCTATGATGACTCTCATTTTACATATTCATGAAAAAGAGGAACTGTCCTGGAAAAAGAGAACATAGGGCACAATGGGGTGGCTGCCGACTCCTTTCTGTCTCGCGGTCTCAGAAATGTCATTTGGTAGATAGAGGAAGCAGGGCAAACTTGGAAGCCGTTGTTGATAAGAGAGAAGTTGTTTAAAAAGTTGGATGTTCTTTGAAGGTATTAATGAATACTTCTGTATTTCCCCCCCTAAAGGTTATGGTTTTGTAGATTTTGACAGCCCAGCAGCAGCACAGAAGGCAGTAGCATCTCTTAAAGCAAATGGAGTTCAAGCGCAAATGGCAAAGGTAAGATCAATGAGAGGGCATTCTTAACCTTGTGATGTTGTGTATTACTCTCTGCGGTAATAATTTTGTGGGATTGTTCCATTTCCTTGCTGTTTTCTAAACCAGGATTTCTTGCAGTCTTGTTTTATTACTCAACACAAATTTGACTTCTGACTCTACTGATTTCTTCTTCATCTTCTTTTGTCTGTTGGCTTGCCAATGTGTATGATGCCTGTGATTTGCCCAGGTCCTGAAATGTGGTGCTCTTAAGTTCCATAACACTCTCCTGCCATCCTTCATAAGACCTTTAGGTGCCGGGTGAAAACTTTCCTCTTTAACCAGGCCTTTGGCTGATTGACATGCGATGCCCTTTAAAAACGTGGAAAGGGGGATTATTAGGTTGTCTTTGTTTTTATGGTGCATTTTCTGGATTTGTTTATATTGTGCTTTTGTGTTGCGCAGCGCCCTGAGATCTACGAGTATAGGGTGGCATACAAATAATAATAATAATAATAATAATAATAATACGCTTGAGATGGGAAGAGCACAGACATCCAGGCCTGAAATATGACAGTGGAGAGGTGGAATGTGTGTTCCAGGGCTGGCTAGTTGGTGCCTGGTTGCTGCACAGCCTCAATACTTTGGGGCTCGGTCAAGCCTTGCATCTTTCTGCATAAACATGAAATGGCTTATGGGGGGAAAGTTGCTGGAGACAGTGTCCTTGGCTGAAGCTGCTAAGCATATGCAGACGTTGAGATCATCAGGGGCTTCCCTTTGGTCATGAGAGGTTGCATGCAGTATCGGACAATTGATGGATCCAGCGAGTGCACCTGCTGGATACCCCAGAAGACAATGCGCATTATAGATTGGCATGTCTTGGTTCTCCAGCAGAGAATCTTGGCTTGGCGAAATGCAGTGGGGACACACAGATTGCCTGGTTTTTGCACACATGAGGAACTTTGGCGACTGCGTATTGATTGTAGAGCCCATTGCAGATTAAATTATTTTTTAGCAACCTCCTTTTAATGGGGATCTCAAATGATCTGGCTGTGCCAGATTCTGGGACACTTCTGTTTCCCCAGGCAATTTATTTTTCTTACTCTCTCGGCCTGCTGTGCGTTTTCTAGCTGCCACCTCATATTCTGCCGAACGGTATGGTTTTATTGTATATGAATAATTCATTATGTATACCTATTGCTTGCCATTCTGAGATTGCTTAGATGAAAGGTGATATGCAAATGCTTTAAATAAAGATAAGCAAATATATAAGATAAATCCCCCGTGACCTTCTCGCTAGTGCTTTAAGATCTGCATGGGAGGTCATGCTTGTGGAGCTGGCTGTGGACAAAGTCCATGCAGCGGTAACACGAGGCAGAGGCCTCTCAGTGGTGGTCCCTCTGTCTGTGCAACTGTCTCCTGATTGTCCCCCATATTGCTGACATTTAGGTGTCATGTTAAATGCTTGCATTTCACCAGACTGTGGTTCGTTGCTCAATTTAGCAGAGAGTTTACAATGCACTTCATTGTGGTTTAAAGATTGCTGTTGATTGGTTGATAAGATTTTAATTGTTGTTTTTATCTTCTTTGCATTGTATTTCAATATTATTGGTAGTTGCTCTGGGCACTGGCTGGTGTTCAAGAACAAGACATTGATTGATTGATTGATTGATTGATTATGGGGGGGAACTAGAATGCACCCTCAGTCTAATGAAATGATGTGCATTTGTCTGTGCCACATTCTGTGTAACTATGGCTATGGTTACTTGTGTTTTGGTAACCTCCAAGTTGGACCATTGTAATGAATTCTACCTGGGGCTGTCCTTGAATATGGACCAGAAATTGCAACGAGTGCGAATCACAGCTGAAAGGGGCAGGCAGCCACAAGCATATGGCTCCTATTTGGAAGTGTCTGCATTGGTTGCAAATTGTTTTCTGGGACCAATTGAAGGTGCTTACTTTAACATTTAAAGACCTCAAAAGTAGGGGACCCAAATACTGCAAAAACACTTTCCTTCATATCAAACTGCCTATGCTTTTAAGATCAGCAGATGAGGCCCTATGCAGGTTGAAGTGTGTGGTGTGGAGGTCCTGGGAAGAGACTTCTTAGTGCTGGCTCCTCACATGCGGAACTCCTCTCTTCTTAGGTGTGTCTGGCCACATCTTTATATAGTTTGGGGTGGTTTGTAAACACATCTTTTTCAACAGTCATTTGGAGGAGACAACTAACTAGAAAAAAAGGTTTAATTTGCTGCTGCACTTAATAAACTTCTATGTAGTTAAATTGTTATGAGTCATTGTGCTTTGCATTTTAATGATCATGTTATTTTATGGATTTTAATACATTTATATATGGGTGTGGGTGTGTGGTTGTTGTTTGACCTTGGTGTAAATTGACATATGTTAATGGTGGTATATAAGTCATCTAAATAAATTGTTGTGTTATATATTCAATTTCAATCTTGCCTTTCCCCCAAAATGTTTTTGGTGAAACTCTTTGCTGTCAGGTGTGCCTATTATGTACAAATGGACCTTGAGATGCAACCATGGAGTGCAGATAATGAAATTGTTCTAAATACCTCAAATTCATGGTTTTTCCGTAAGGATGCTTCCAATGCACTCAACTGGGAGCAAGCACAAAAGATTTCGGAGCTCTGTAGTCTTGTACTTAGAAACCTCTGTAAATATAAACACATAAATTCATCCTTAGTAGGATGTGTTGTGCTGCAATTTGTTTTCTGTCCAAAGAACATCTGAAGAGCTAGAAGTTTCTGTCCAAATTTTGAACAGATTATAATTTTCAAGCAAACAGTATTTATGGAAGCCCATCAGGGATCGATTCCAGACATTTTGTCATTTTCTTCTTTGGAGTTGGTGACTTTAAGTTGTTGATGCCCCGTTTATTTCACTCTGTCTTATTCTGTTATTATTATTATTCTCTATTACACACATTCGGATAATGTGTTTATGTGCTTCTTATTTTGTTCTTTGGTGCTGACCATTGACCACAATAATAAATATTTTATTTGATTTGTATTTATGGAAACATGAGGGCCCAGTATGAGAGATTTTGGAATATGCAGGCCCTTCCACAAGTTGACTTTAGTTCTTTAAGATCTGAGCTTTTATCTGCCCTGTTTAGGGAAGTTTTAATGTTTGAAGTTTTATTCTGTTTTTAATGTTCTGTTGAAAGCCTCCCAGAATGGCTGGGGTAGAAATTATGTGTACACACACACACACACACACACACACACACACACTTTACAGTATAAACCTCCCATTTGACTAGATAACTTGCATAATGAATTGGTTCACACTGATCCCCTGTAACCTAAGGCGGAGATTTCAACATCCCCCCCCCCACTTATTTAACAAATTCATAGACTGCTTTATATCGTATTCATAGACCACTTTGTATTTTTCTGTTGTGAACCGCCCTGGGATCTTCAGATAAAGAGTGGTATACATATTTTAACAACAACAATTAATAGATTGAAGCAGTGTTCAAGATTTAAACCCTCCAGAATAAAACACAAGTTCAAAAAACAATAAAATAACTTCAGTAAACTCTAAAAACAATAAAACCATATTTACAAATTCTTCTAAAAAAACCCAAAAAAAATTTCCTGCCCCATAAGTGAGTGGGTCATCCATCAGGTAAATCCATCTTTTTATAAAAAATGTCTTCAGCTGTATACCCTGCACAGCATATCACTATATAATGAGGGAGGTACCCATATCACATAATGCAGTGACATTGCTCACAAATGATGGGCAGTACTTCATAGAAATGGCAACAGCTGGACAAATGTGGCAGGAGTTGACACCCTCTGAAAACTGACACCTGTCAATTGATTTACCTTTCCTGACAACTTTTTCGAAAGAGGGCGATTTTGTTTCCGATGAATCTTTTTTTGCCAGAGAAGTTTTGAAACTTTTTCTGAGGCTGCTTATGGAAATGAGCCATAAGGGTGAATTAGCTGAATGATTATGCCAGCCAAGATCGGAATCTCAATGCAGAAAGCATGAAATATTGATGCAATTTGGAATTCCTGTAGCTCCTTCACCTGAGAATCTCACATTACATACTTCCAATATTAATTAAGTCTCCAAAGGTCACTGTGAAGCAGGCTGCAGCAAGCATTATCTGCATTTCAAAAAAATGGGACAAAAATGGTGAACGAGAAGAGGATTAAAGTTGAGGTTGTACCTGAATAAGGGTGAAGTGGAGTTATACCGGAAGAGAGGTGAAGTGCCTTTGAGTTACTGAACCCAGAGTTCCTGACAAAAGCTAAGCGGTTCTCTTCAGTACTTCTCCACTTGCTCCTCTTTTGCCCTGTGCTTATCTCATCTTTTGTTCTCCACTGTTGAAACCACAACTATGCACATGCAGGCATTTGAGACAAGTGGATTGGGATATTGAAAGCCAGCTCAAAATTTGTAGCTGTGGCACAAGCGATTGTGCCGCCTGAGGTAGGTGGCTGCTCTTCTGCTGCCCGGCTTCTATTCCTCTTCTTGCCATCTTTGCCCCACTCCTGTTCATGACCCCTTATTTATTTTTCCTTTCCTTTTTTTTCTTTTTACTGTTGCATTGGTGGCATCAGAATTGGCCTGCCTCGCTTTTCCACATTATGGGAAAGGTGCTAGTAGAGTTGTAGATTGTTATTGTCGTTTAGTCGTGTCCGACTCTTCGTGACCCCATGGACCAGAGCACGCCAGGCACTCCTGTATTCCACTGCCTCCCACAGTTTGGTCAAACTCATGCTGGTAGCTTCGAGAACACTATCCAACCATCTCGGCCTCTGTCGTCCCCTTCTCCGTGTGCCCTCCATCTTTCCCAGCATCAGGGTCTTTTCCAGGGAGTCTTCTCATCTCATGAGGTGGCCAAAGTGTTGGAGTCTCAGCTTCAGGATCTGTCCTTCCAGTGAGCACTCAGGGCTGATTTCCTTAATAGATGTTAATAAAGTTGTAGACAATGAAGCTGTAGACGACAGGGTGCCGGCATTTTGCACCTGTTTCACCCTGGCAGTCCAAATAATCAAAAGGCCGCTGTTCGCCCCCGATGGGGCCCTCTAACTGGGGCTTGCCAGGTAGACTGAACTTATCTAATAAACTGAGTTAAGCATTTGAAAAAAAATCTATTGAAACCAGACATTATAAGTTCCTTTTAGGCTGGGTAATTCGCAAGTCTTTGTGGCTTTGTTTAAATGTTTTGTATTTTTCTCAGAAGGTTGATAAAGTATGTATAATTATTGTTCTGTGTATATTAATCACCAACATGTTGCATGAGTCGCACAACTTCTATTAGCAGCACAGGTTGCATTTTTCTAACATTATGGGAAAGGCCTTCTTCAATGTGAGGTCTTCTGGGCGAGGTGGTAAGGAGAGCACCTGGTTTGCTGCTGTGTTAAGCTAATAATGTTTTTAGCGTTGCAAAACCACAGCAACATAGCACAGTGTTTGGGAAGAAGTCCAGAGCCACTCAGGGAATGAGCAGGAGGGGGGCCCCAATGCAGAAGGGACCGTGTATCACATTGTGAAGTAAGTGAAGCAATGCACATTGTCATCCAGAAAGGGAGGCTTGTAAGGCCATTAAGCCCATAGTTTACAGTTGCCTCCTGCACCATTGCCTGTGTTGAAGCCAGTGGCAACTGTACTCTGTGGAGCCAAGGGAAGTCCCTGGCAAGAAGACGACTGGAGTTTCTGTCACTTGAACCCAGTACCTGTGAGGAGGTCATAACACCCAGGTATCAGTGGTACTCTAGTTTGCTATCAATGCTGCATTCTGTCTTTCAGTGGATAGGAAACTTAAGGCTGGATATTATTCTGTATCTTGTTGTAACTAACTGACTAACTAACACCTTTCAATCAGTTTTCATGACTTACTCCTCTAGGTCAAACTTGGTATTTAAGTTTGAGTAGAAAGGCTACTAGCTCATTGTCCCACCCTATTCCCACTGACTTTTTACATTTCCACAAATTGCAGGGTTCTCCCAATCCTGCTCATACCTTCTTGTGATTGAGTGACTACGTTATGGGTACATGAGCAAAAATAATAGCATGAGCATCAGAAATAATGGTAATGGTGATAAATGTCCTCAGTGACTCCACAAACAGAAAGCTGTTGGTTTCAATGCATCTTGTATTGAAGCTGAAGTTTGGAATCTCAGTGTGAAAAAGACCTTGGCAGGGCCATATATTAAATCATGAAAGAGGTTTTCAAGAAGATGTGGACAAAATAAAGGAGAGTGGATTGTTTCTACATCTTGTTTAAAGGAATGTTTTCTTAATTTAGCACTTATAGGTTGTTGTTGTTTCTTGCCTAGCCCCAAATCATCTTCTTCTTTGGTGATCACTCGTAGCCGAGTAAGATTGTCTTCCATAAAGATGTTTTAACAATGAGTCTGTAAGTGACTGTGGAGGCCAATTCTGGATCCACACATCCTTACACGGTGGGGACATTGGTTTCTGGGTGGGAGTTGATCACAGTGTGGATTTGCCAAGCGTGCCTTCCTCTTAGCACGTTTCTCTCAGGAGATGCTGGATTTTGGCATCAATGTGGAAAGATAACTGCCCAGATAACTGCTCTTGTGGAAAGATAACTGCCCGGGTAGTAGAAGTAATCGACATTTTCCAACATTACACCATTAAATTGGATTTGTGGCGCTGCAGAGCAGTTATTTTGTGCTTGTTGGTGCAGTACTTTGGGGTTTTTTTGTGATGTTGAGTGATAGGTCAAGCTTTTTGTAAGCTTCTGAGAAGATATTTAGGATGGTTTGGAGGTCATCCTCTGAGCGTGCACACACTACGTTGTCATCAGCATACTGAAGCTCTGTGACGGAAGTTACGGTAACCTTACTCTTTGCTTTCAGCCTGCTCAGATTGAAGAGCTTTCCATCTGTTTGATATATGATTTCCACTCGGGTGGGGAGTTTCCCTTCGACAAAGTGTAGGATCATGGCAATGAAAATAATGAATAGAGTTGGGGCAATAACACAACCCTGTTCAACACCTGATTCCACTGTGAATGGTTCACTTTGAGAGCCATTGTTATCTGTGATTGTTGTTGTCATATTATCATGGAGGAGCCGAATGATGTTCCCAAATTTATCTGGTCAGCCAGTTTTCTTCATTTAGCACTGATAGGTTGGTGTTGTTTTTTGCCTAGCCCAAATATTGGTTCTTTAAACTAGATGCTTAATATTAAATACAGACATTTTCCTAGGAGAGGTATCCAGTTGTTTCTGCTTTGCTTCCAGAAACCTTTCCTCAGCAATGTATTATAGATCATTTTGAGAAGCTCACAGCAGTATGCACATGACAACATGAGTAGATGGAATTCCATCTCTGCCATCATGGTTAGAGTGTCAAACATGGACCTTGGGAGATCAGTATTCAAATCCCTACTCAGCTATGATGCTCCTGGGGTGACCTTGGACCAATCACTGCCTAACCTACCTCACAGAGTCATTATGGGGATTAAATGAGGAGGTGATAGAACCATGTAGACTGATGCCTTGTGGAGTAAAAAGACGGGAAATCTAAGAAATAAATATATATGATCACACATGATATAAGAAACCAAATTGCATAGAAAGCTTTGAGTTCTGCAGTCAGGATGATGGTTTTTAGTTTGCAACGCTCCCTCCCACTCTTTTTATGAATAACTTCTTGATAATTACTACATAATTACTACCATCTAAAGGCTACTTAGCTTTGCACTTGATGTCAATTATTATTATTTAGTTGAAATAAATAAACCCTGGCATTCTAGATCCCATTTTGGGTGATGGGTGTGTGTGTTCTTTTGACTCTGTCACCCTTGGCCACTTTTTACGATATCGCAGCAGGATAATAAATCTGAATCTTTCGGCGTTGAAACTTCAGAGTTGCTATTTTAATCTTCTTAATTATCTGATTTTTCTCTAAAGCAAAGCATTCATTAAGAGCCATAGTAAGGCTTCAGTAAAATTGTTTTCATCATTTCCACCATAAAGACTAAGTAAGACCTCCATGGAAACTTTGGAGACTTAAGCAGCATGGAAATTGTTCAGAATACTATTGTAATGAGGCTGACAACATTCCAGAGCGTTTGATGAGGAACTCGACATCTGTTAGAAGTGTAGGTTCCTATCCAATTGCTATATAGAATGTTTGCACACAAAAACACAGTATAAAAATCTGTCCATCTCGTGAAAACATTAACTGTCTCAAATAGTACTTATACTTAGGCTTGAGATGTACTGTCTCAATAATAATTCCTAATTAACTTGCAATGGATCTTCAGGGATGAAGGCAAAAGGAAGGTACCATCCACTTTGCAAAAAGGATTCCTCTCTCTGCTGCTTGCTTAGGCT